TGGGCCCAGGTTAGCGTCTTTGGGGGTTGAGTCCCTACTCATCATGATTGTCTACACTAACCCGGGATTTTATCTCCAAATCGCATTGTCCTGGCTGTGTCTTCCTTGGCTATGAACATACAAGGGACACTCATTGAAACTCAGCCAGTTCAGTTCCCAGTGGCCACTCTGTCCGAAGCCTCTGTCTCCATGGGCTATGTAGTCATGCTGTCTTCACCCTTCTGGTTGCTGTGGGCTCCAGCAGCACTGTCTCCACTGGCCGCCCTGTGCCCCTGTGCTGTAGCTCTGTCCTTGTTGGTTGCCACTAGAGGTAGTGTTTCCACTGACAGTGAATCCAGTGGATGGATGGGCTTTCTCCCCCAGTGCCATGCTGCCAGCACCCCAACCTGTGCCTCCATCTCCTCCTACATTAGGGTGAGGGAGCGCTGGGGGTACCAGAAGAGGGCCCAACAGCCTCGAGGAGCCTCTGATGCTGGAGAACTTTCTTCCTCCTTTCCTGTTCCCCTGTGACTTCACACACCAACTGAGCAGGGAAGGCCCCTGGATGCCCCTTCAGCCAGCCTAGAGAAAGAGAGACAGGAGCCCAAGTCGGGGTCTAGGTAGATAGGAAGTGAGCAGATAAAGGAGGCTGCTGTGGGTTCAATGTGTCCCCCTAAATTTTTCCCAGTGAAATTTGGTTTATTACAATGGTAGAGACTTGGGGTCTGCAGATGGCATACAGTTCCATCTCTGGTCTCCCGCATGGAGTCCATGGTTTGAATCCTGGGCCAAGTGGCTTGAAATTCATGCTGTGTTTGCGTATTTGCCCCAGATCTTGGGAGGAGAATGGAAGAGAAGGGATTCCATCATGGCCATCACCCCTGGGGAGTGATAATCTTTTCTGTCTCTCTGTCTTTCTTGACTGGTGAGCGTACATGCCCTATAGCAATAATCTCTAAAACTAAATAAATACATAGATAAAAGAATAGAAACTTAATCCAACTATGAGGAGCTAGTAGGTTGTGTTGTGCTTAAGGGCACTGGACTTTCACATGGCTAACCTTGGCTCAAGTCCCAGACCTGGCAGCTTGCTTTCTCAATTTCTCTTTCTCTCTCGCATACACCCTGTTTCTCTCGGTCAAGTTAAAATAAATAAAGTTAAATAAAATATATTTTTAAAAAATCCAACTATGGGTACCAGCAGTTAGCGTAATGGCTATGTCACTGGACTCCCACGTAGTCGACCGCGGTTCGCATCCCGGACCCGGTGGCTTAAAACTCACGCCGGGCGCGTGTGCGTGTGTGTCCAAGATCCCGAGAGGAGAATGGAGAAGGGATTGCAGCGTGACCATCCCCCCAGGGGGTGATTTCTTGCTTTCTGTCTCTATGTCTCTCTCTGTCTGTCTGGCAAGCGCACGCACCCTATAGAGAAAAAAAAAAAAACCTCTCCAAAAAAAAAAAAAAATCCAACTATGAGTATGAGAGTTGGATCCTTTATAAAGTACTTAGGATTAGATAAAGTAATTAGGGTGAAACTCCTATGATTGACTCCTGTAACCTTAAAAGACAGACACAGGCAGGCCAGCAGGTGGCACGGAGGTGGTAGTGCTGGATACCACATAGCTGACTGCTTGATCGAGTCCTGGACCTGGTGGCTGAAAATCACACTAGATGCATGTGTATGCACACATCCGTAGAGGAGAATGGAAGAGAAGGAATTGTAGCATGGCCACACTCACTTCTCTCTCTCTCTTTTTCTCTTGTAAGCACACATGCCCTATAGTCAATTAAAAAAAAAAAAAAAGGACAGAAAGGCAGAGAGGCAAAGGCATATGTAAGCTCTTGACACTTTATGCCCTATGTCATCCTAGGACTCTGCAGAGTCCTCACCAAGAAGATCCTCCCTTTGACTCTGAGCCTCCAAAACCATGAAATAAATAAGCCTATTCTTTTATTTTTATTTTTACTTATTTATTTATTTTGGGGGGGAGAAGTTTTCGCTACAGGGCACATGTGCTCGCCAGAAAGACAGAGAAACAGAGAAACAGAAAGTGAGAAATCACCTCAGGGGGGATGGCCACGCCGCAATCCCTTTCTCCTCCATTCTCCTCTCGGGATCTTGGGCACACACGCACACGCGCCCAGCATGAGTTTAAGCTGCCAGGTCTGGCACTTGAACCAGGGTCGACTATATGGGAATCCATCGACATAGCCATTATGCCAACTGCTGGCCCCTCAATAAGCCTATTCTTTATAAATCTAGACTCAAGAATATTCTTGGGAACCAGCAATTAGCGTAATGGCTATGTCGCTGGACTCCCACGTAGTCGACCGC